AGTAGTAGTAGTAGTAGTAGTAGCATTCGTAGTAGTTGTAGTAGTATTGGAATTAATGGTAGTTTTAGTGGTTGCGTAATAGTAGAGGCTGTAGCAATCGTAGCTGTGGTAGCGATAATAGTATTGATGGACACATCCGTACACAGTGGCCCTTAAATTGGTAGAAACGATATTTTTTCTCAACGTGAACAGGAGCACTAGTCATAAAATTAATAGACTTGTTGTTAGTAGTTTTTCAGCAGTAGCGGTAGTCGTTAAAGTATTTGCAATAAAAGTTTGATATCTTAGTGCATTCGTATACGAAAAATCCACCTAGTGTGCAATCTACCGTTGTTCACCACTACGTACGCAACGCGCACTTTCGCTGCTCTTCATGGAGTTTGTTGTTAGTGACATGTTTTACTAAGCAAACCTAACTGATATTCGTGTTGACCTTGTTTTCAAATTCAATTCTGACTTACCTTTCCACATATTGCAAGTGAAATCTCATTCAGTTTCTCCGTTATCTCTTTTTCTACATAAATTAATCACTTTTTTACGGATTCCTTAACAGCAAGACAGTGTTTAGCATGGGTTTCATAAGTGCACATATGCAACCTGAGAAGAAGAACCATGGCGGTAGTCACTATTTCTTGGAAATATTTTGCCATTTCACACGCTTCTGACCAAAAGCATAAACGAATTTTGTCGATTTAATAATAATAATAATAATAATAATAATAATAATTTTATTTAATGCCAGTTTATAGGCATTGTCAGGGAAGCGTTACACACAAAGCCGGCCAGCAGTGTAACAACTCCTGACAAAAAGGAATAAAAATAAAGTTGATGGTGGTTTTTATGATTTAGAGGGTTCAGGGGAAAAAACTGCTGGCCGCAAACTGCAGACAGTCAAGAAGAGAGGGATTGCACGGTATCGGATATTATCAGTTGTCAATTCCTTCCATGAATTTGGAGCTAGTCCAAACAGGCGCGCCGAAGAACAGCTGATACTGCTGACTAAATAAATCGTCCCTGGTGAGACCAGCCATTGAGATCAGAGACCACAAACGCCATCGCTACGGTAGAGTCGATCAGTGGATTCAGCCCCCAAAATTTGTGGGACTTTTTTGAATGCAAAAACTGAGTAATAGTTCTCTTAAACAAACGATACTTTAGCAGAGTCTTTACATTCCTGTGTAGCTTATTCTAAATAGCAATTGCATTTACAGAAAAGAACCGACAATATTTAATGGTATGTGCCAGAGGAAGAAATAAAAAGACGTCACGGTGGCTGTAAAAATAGTCCATTTTGTAATCTACAAAACCATAAATGATCAAGGCTTGTAAGCCGGCAACGTTCTTGGAAAGGTAAATGTCGGTGTTCGGGGGTTAAAACTCTCTTGGCAAAAAAAGTGTTGAACGGATTATATTTTCTTCCGCTCAGTAGCACGCATGAGGTTGAATAAAAATGAACAGTATTCCAGGCCAGGTCGAACATACATGTTGAAAAGGCGCATTCTAATGTCCCTAGTTTTAAATTTTCGGAGGATAAACCCGGTCGTTCTACGTGCTTTGGAGACTATCAAGGCACAGTGCTCCGAAAGATTGGCACTCTTGGAGTATGATACGCCCAGATCCTTAATAACCCCGGGCGCATTTAAGGCGTGACCGTCAATGCTTAGTTGAGGTTGGCGGTCGTCGCCAACTACCATGACTGAGCGTTTATGCCGAGGAAGAGAAAGGCGTCGTGCGCGGCACCGCTGGGCAAAAGCCTGTAGGTCGCTCTTTAGGAACTCGAGCATGATGTTACGATCTGCCGGCTTATATCGATATGCAACTTTCGGACCATCGACATACATGAAGGGCATACATGATGGCTCTCAAGCCCCAGTAGAGAGGAACATTAAAATATTTGTAGACTAAGAGCTGAATTATTCCCATAACGTAAAATCGCCGATGTTCAGTAATTCAGTATAATTCAGTAAATATGAGGGATATAGGCAGAGCCTTGGAAAACCGTATTTTCAGATTGGCGCATGAAAAGAAAGCATGCAGATTTTAACATAACAGTTATTCCAGTCATTGATATCCAGTAAATGTTTCACCATAAGGCATAAAGATATCTATTTTTCTTTTGAAGATCTCAATGTTTTCTGCCATTACAACGGAGTTCGACAATTTGTTCCATCCTCCTACCAACCAGTGGAAAAAGAATTTGGCCCACAATGCAAGTTTGGCATATTTTATCTTCAATTTGTATTGGTGGCCTTGCAGATTTCTCGTCCGCACCAGTTTGAAGATATCGTCAAACTGAAGAGCACAGTCTAGCCCTCGGACAATCTTGAAGGCCATGATTATATCCCCTCTAAATTGTCTATAACAGAGAGGATGATTATCAAAAACCTTTCTGAAGTCAATGTACACGGCCTCGATGGATAAACCTATGTCGATTAATTTCGTCCATTTCTCCATGGATACTAGCAGGTTAGTGAGACAGGATCGACCCCTTCGAAATCCATGATGATGGAAACTGAGCAAGTGGTTTTCGTCAAGATGCCGCATCAGCTCCGTTTTACTACTTGTGAGATTCACTGGACTGAAAATATTTCGGGTTGTTCTCTCGCCACCTTTATATATGGGGCTAATATTTGCTTTCTTCCAGTCATTAGGCAGAACCCCGATCTCCATCGAAGTTTTGAAGATCCTGGATAACGGAGAAGCTAGATAATTATGATAATGGTTTATTTAATGCCAGTTTACAGGCATTGGCAGGGAAGCGTTAGACACAAATCCGGTCAGCAGTAAAAAGAACTCCTGCGAGAAAGGAATAAAAATATAGTTAATGGTTTTTGTGATTTGGTTAGGTTCAGGAGAAAAAAACACGGCTGGCGACAAACTTTTGACCGTCAAGAAGGGAGGGGCTACACCGTGTCGGATAATATCAGTCGCCAATTTCTTTCGTGAAGGTGGGGCTAGTCCAAACAGAAGCACCAAAGAACATCTGTCGCTGTTGGCCAAAAAAATCTTCCCTGGTGAAACCGGCCATAGTGGTCACAGACCACAAACGTCATTGCTACGGTAGAGTCGATCAGAGGTTTCAGCAGCCAAAATTTGTGGGAGCTGTTCACAAACTCTCGACCGTCAAGAAGGGAGGGGTTGCACGCCATCGGAGATTATCAGATGCCAATTCCTTTCATGAGGTTGGGATAGTCAAAATAGAGGCGTTCATTCGGAACTTTTGCAAGTACGCCGTCCGGACCAGGCGATGTAGTGGACTGTAGTTGACTCCAAGATTTGCTTGCCGCGTCTGTTGTTGATGGCAACCGTGTTAATTGTATTGCATGTTTTCAACAATTGGGGGGGTGAACTCGTTCATCAAAAGCCGATACCTCGGTAAACACAGACGTAAAGAAATCGGACAACAGGTTCACCTTGTCTGAAAAATCAGATAACGTTTTTCCTAGGCGATCTTTTAGACAGGGAATTCAGTCCCGGCTGCGTTTCGCCGTATTCACGAATCCAAAGCATTTTTTGGATGTTAGTAACTTTAGTTCAATCAATTTGAGGGAAAAGTAGGTATTTCACCCTTGAACCCCCTGTTTGTTGCAACGAAGAAAAGTATATCAAAAAATTGGATAACGGAAATATCAGACAACTAGGGAAGAAAAATCAAAACATTACAGATAAACTAACTATTCCAAATGATATAAAAACTAACTATATGAAGTACATTACACAGAGGTTACTTTGTGCATTATTTGCTGTTGAAAAATCGGTACGATTTCAGTAATCTAAAGAGACCAAAGTGAGCGTCAATATTCGCATACAATAAACATGGAACAATAAGCAAATATAAATTTCAAGCGCTACTGAAGTACATATAGTAACATTATAATAGCATTAAATTGTTGGGACGGGTCGGTAAGGCAGAATCTTATTACCGACTAGGACAAGGGCAAGGTAATAAGATTCTGTCATTGTCATGCTCCGCTGTGCGGCTGCTGGTTGGGCTCGAAAGAGAGCCCGTAAGGCACAACGGAACGAATGAGGTCCGTAAGAACGATCGGTGAGCAGCCCTCTTCCACGGGTTGTTAAGACGATATCGGTAGTATGGCATTATGATGTACAGTGGTATACTGATGTAGGTTGCGCTTAAAAGCCTCGACGGATGTGGACATGACGACATATGCAGGCATAACATTCAAGCTTCGATCCTTTGTCTTTGTCAGTAATATCATTCTGTCTATATGATGCGCCGCTGTGCGGCTGCTGGTTGGGCTCGAGAGAGACTGCATAAGGCACAACGGAACGAGTGAGTTCCTTAAGAACGATCGGTGAGCGCCCCCTACCATTCGATCGCTTTATTGGATTAGGCACACTTTTGTGTCCAGCCTGGAGCCTGTCGCACATAGTTTGAGTGGATGAGGTTGATGTTTCCCTGTGGGTGATAATTCAACAAGGTTTCCCGGCATAAGACGCCGGTTCTCGCCGCGCAGGAAGTTGATAGTTTGTATCGAGTCGTCTTTTAGCTGTTCGTAACTCAGAGGAAAGAGATAGAGATTGGATAACCGTTTAAAAGAAGACGAAGGCACGATCACTGGGACGGTTGATTTATTGGACTTAGCTTTCAAACTCGAACTGGAGTTCATCATCAGTGACTGGTAGAGTGCAGCAACGTGTGAACATTTAAATCGTTTTGTCGTAAGGGGAAAGAGGACTACGTTCGTGACTAGGTCTGGTTTGTGCCGCCTGGTCCAAAATGGTCACCCAGCGTGGTGTCTCCGTCTGTGCTTCGCGGCGATGGGAGCTGCATCACCTTACGACAAAACGATGTAAATGTTCACACGTTGCTACACGCTAGCAGTCTCTGATGATGAACTCCAGTTAGAGTTCGAAAGCTAAGGCCAATAAATCTACCTCTCCAGGGATTGTGCCCTCGTCCTCTTTTAAACAAGAACCTGGGATGCGCACATTCTCTCCCATTCATTGGATAACCGTGTTTCATAGGCTTGTGAACCATGTTCTCTAACGAGGTTGGTTGCACGCCTTCGAACATTCTCAAGGATGCTGAAGTCTTTAGCGGTCGACGCTTAAATAGCAAACTTCAACTTTGGCCGCACAAACGTCTGAAAGACTTCAGCGACGCATTCCTCATCGAAAGTATAGAAAGACCGCTTGAAAGGTACTGGGCTGAAGTCGAAGCCACTTCCTAAAAACAGAAACTAATATATGATTGTTACCCGGCAAAATCGATCGTTAGGGTAAATTTGTCAGACGGTTCAGGATAAATGAACGCCAATCGCTGATCGATAACAGTAGGATAAAAAGAATACTGAGGTTCCTTAATCATTTTAATGGAGCGGAATATTCAACAGCGCTCTATGTCACACACGCCACACTTCAAGTGTACATTGTCATACCTTCCTGGTAACCTTTTTTTCTTGTTTTTATGCTTTAGGTCTGCCCCCTTTGACTATAACTCCGACAAGAGTCTGGTAGCATCTCAATTGCGCCCATCTGCGCTTCGTGAGTTTCATTATCAATAATAAATAAACTCTCATCCTCGCTCCCCACGTTCTACGTCAGTGTGTGTGTTGTGAACTGATTGTCCCCATCTTATCTGAAGTATTATAAATTGGGTGGCAGCGATGTCCGGATCGAAAGCTCCCGTCCGGGAACCCACGCCAACTCCTGGCTCACCCCCAAAAATCACAACGGCGTGCCCTCCTTCGCCCTTCGCCCCTCTTGAAACCTATTCTAGCCTTACCCCATACTTCAAAAACATACAACACCGCCCTCGGCAAAAGCCTGTCCTATCCCCTCCACCAACTCAACTGTACCCGACATCCACCACACCAGCCTTCACTCCCCAGTCAATACAACCCCCGATCCTACGTCAAGGCGACAACCTGGCCCAATGGATCTCTTTAGTAGAGCCTTACTTAGAGTTGCTCCCCGAAAACTTCAGGAAGACCACACTTAAATCTCTTCTCGATCCCGAACTTGTATACAAGGTAGATGGGCTGGCTACCTCTCCTTTCTGCTCATTCGAGGAATACTTCGGAGCCCTTTAACAGATTTTCCATTCAGAGTCCAGCCAGGCCGCGGAACAACAGCGGTTCTTCAATAAAACCCGGCGGGAAGGTGAGACCCTGCTGAATCTTTATATAGAATTCAAACACCTCTCGTTTCGCGCCTTTCCACATCACGGCAATGAAGATCTAACGTTTTGTCGCATGATGTCGGGCATACGCGACCGTGAACTACTGTTAATCTTCACCAGCTGTCCACCGGCCAACGTCAAGGAGGCTCTTGACTTGGAATCGGCGCGCCGCACCCAATTCCCCTTGGCGCAGGAACCTCAAGCCACCAGAGATCCAACTACTTGGGGTCATCCACCCAACCTCCCAGGCCGGTTCACACTCTACCACACCAATTTAAACCGACGTTTCCAAGCCCCCAGGCCCGCCATACAGCAAGCACTGTTACTACTGCGACCGCTTCGGCACAGCTGCCAAGAAATGCGGACACAACTCAGGTAACCAGCCCTTTCCCCTAGCCGCTTTATACACCCTTCCCTCTGATTTTAAGCCATTGACAATCTCGGGCACAGTGGCCAATAAGAGAGTCAGCATCCTTATAGACACGGGTGCAGCTGTCTCCCTGATTCACGGTAACCTCCTCCACGGAACAAACTACATCCAGTCGGCATTCCCGCAGCTACAGATTCTCACCGCTAACAATACCACCCTCCAGTTTAGCGGCTCCGCCACAGTGCCAGTCTCCATCAAAGACACGACTATCCGACATTGCTTCCTCGTCTCTTCTGAACTGAAATGGAATGTCATACTCGGCTGTGATTTTCTAAAACGACATGCCCAGGCCATTACCCTCTTCCCCACTTCTCAGTCTTTGATCCTCAAAGACGACGAGGTAACCGTGGCCGTAAACAGTGCCGAAATCGATACACGACCACCCCTCGACCCTTCCTCCATCGAAGATATCCTACCGGATAACATTTCGGCAGACGATCGCGGCGCCCTATACCACGCGTTGGCACCGTTCACATCCGTGTTCACATGGGCAGACCAGGCTATCGGACGGTGCAACGTAGTCCAACACCGGATAAACACCACATCCGTCCCTCCACAGCACCTCCCTCCCCGACGGATACCCTTCCACTTTCGGGAAGAACTAGATAAGATGGTAGAAAACATGCTCCAACAAGGCATCATTCAACCTTTCTCCTCCCCGTGTGCAGCGCCGGTAACGCTGGTTAAAAAGAAGGACAATTCCCTTCGTCTCTGTGTTGACTACAGACGCCTCAACGCGGTCACGGTAAGAGATGCCTTTCCTCTTCCCCGTATGGACGACCTCGTAGCTTCTATGGCAGGGAAGAAATTCTTCTCCAACCTTGACCTCTCCTCAAGCTACTGGCAAATCGAAGTACACCCAGAAGATCGCGCAAAAACCGCCTTTTCCCTGCCCTCGGGACTCTTCGAGTTCACCACACTACCTATTGGCCTAGCCAATGCAGCGGCGACCTGCCAACGCCTCATGCAGAAATTACTGAAAAACCTTTGTCCATCGAAGTGCCTTGTTTACCTAGACGACGTTATAGTGTGGGGCACCACGATATGAGAACTGCTAGACAACCTTTCAGAAGTCCTAACGAGGTACCAAGATGCCGCTCTGACAATCAATCCAAGGAAGTGCAAGTTCCTCCAACCAGAAATTCGCTTCCTCGGCCACATGGTAAGCCGCGAGGACCGCGAGGGCCTAGCAGGATACTACAGGGCTTTCATTCCGTCGTACGCTCGCCTTGCCTTCCCTCTCACGAGACTGACCGCGAAGTCCCGACCATTTTCGTGGACAACCGAGTGCGAGAACGCATTTTCACACCTCAAGGAGGCCCTTACCGCCGCCCCCGTTCTCAGTTTTCCCGATCTCAGTCGTGACGGACCCCCATTTGCCCTAGATACAGATGCTAGTAGTCACGCCATAGGAGGAGTACTGTCGCAGACAGACACCGATGGCAGAGAGCACGTTATACAGTACGACAGCCGTACGCTTGATAAATCGGAACGAAATTATAGCGCCACACGGCAAGAAATGCTAGATCTGGTCTCCTTCACCAAGAAATTTGCTGCGTTTTTAAAAGGCAAAACCTTCATCATCAGGACGGACCACTCAGCCTTGGAGTGGCTACAGAATTTCCACGAACCGGAAGGACAAGTAGCAAGGTGGCAGGAAATGTTGGCGGACTTTTACTTCACCGTTGTACATCGCCCTGGGAAGCAACACCTTGACGCGGACGCACTATCGCGAATTCCCATGCGCGAGCCCACATCTGCTCCGCTTGCCAAGACCTCGACGTTAATGCTCTGACGGTGATCACTTCGGCGGTGAACTGGGCTAAACTACAAGCCAACGATCCAGATGTCGGTCTCATCTACGACCGATTTGTGCGAGGTTCCATCAAACCGTCAAAAAATCAGATGTCAGAAGAAAGTCGTGAAGCACAAGCCCTGTGGGCCTCCTGGCACAACCTTCTTATGAGGGATCGAGTACTTTTCTTCAAGTATGACCCCCAATCCCCCACCCGCCCCGTTCTCCCTCCGGCTCATACACACAGTGTCTTACGGGAGTTACACCTCCAACTGGGCCACGCGGGACAAGGCAAACTGGAAAAAACGGCGAGGCTTCGTTTCTGGTCACCTAATCTTCGTCAAGATGTGGCACTCATATGCCAAGAGTGCGGAGTTTGCGCGCGATTTAAACATCCCACTCACAATCCCAGAGCACCGTTGCAACCGATTTCCACCGGCTACCCGAATCAGCGCCTTGGAGTCGACATCGTGGGCCCCTTCCCACAATCACGGAAGGGTAATCGATACCTTTTAGTGATGGTCGACTTTTTCACCAAATGGGCGGAAGCAGCCCCCCTACCTGAACAGAAAATGGCTACGGTCGCAGATGAAATCATGAGTACATGGGTTGCCCGTTTCGGGGTGCCGGATGTTATTCACTCCGGCCAAGGTGCCAACTTCGAAAGCCTCTTAGTACATGAACCGTGTAGTCGACTCGGCATACAGAAAACGAGGACCACAGCTTATCACCCACAAGGCAGCGGACAGACGGAGAGAACCAACAAATCTTTTTTGTCTCTATTACGAGCCTTCATAGATTCGGCCAACAACGATATCTGGGACACACTCATTCCCCATTGTCTCTTATCCTACCGCAGTACCATACACAAGTCAACAGGCTTCACTCAATTCAATTCAATTCAATTATTTTTATTAAAGACCCGTCTGAGTCCCATCAAAGCAAGTAAAAATAAATTTACATGCAAATTTTAGACGAGGTAGGCAAAATCTGTACAAAGTGCAATGCATAGTTTTTGAGATTAGAATTCCGTTAAGCAAAATGAAAATGAAAAAAAAACGAGGGGTGAAAAAAAAACTCCAAAGCAAAATTTAAAAATGATTGTAGTAATTTAACAGGAGAAAAAAAACCCTCAGAAAAATAGCATCAGAAAAAAAACAGGGAGGACTGGCCTGCATGTGGCGATACAAAATGGAATATAGTCCGACATCAACATGGCCGAAATAAATGTCAGCTGTATATGGCATTGTGTAACGGATTTCATAAAATGGTACGTAGGCGGGTCGGTCAGGACTGGCCTGTATCGCCTTGAATAAGAAAAATAAGTGGCGAAATTGAAAACCAGTCACAAGCTGATAGGAACCCAGATGCGGTCAGTTTCATTCAACCGAGTCCATCCGAACATGGGGGAAGGGAGATGCGACCAGACTACTAGTATATGGCGAATATAGAAGGCTTTGTCAAGACCGCCGATGGAGCGCATTCTGTAATGGCACGATGACAACCAGTCTCGAGGCGACAAGAACCCAGATGCGGTCTGTTACATTCATCAGAGTCCATCCGAGGATAGGGCAAAGGAGATGCGACCAGATTACTAGTATATGGCGAATAT